CCAGTTCCTCGTGTCGTTTCGTGCAGATGGGTCGGGTACGCCGCAGGGTATAATTACAGTGGAGACCATGCCAAGAAACGCCCTGCTCGCCTCCGGGGTGCTCTGGGCTTCTTGGGTTTCGATGGCTTTTCGATGGAAAGCGTGACGTTCCCACACCAAAAATCGATGGACGTCCTGGGCTCTCAGGGTTGCGCTTCTTGTGGAAAGGTTTTCTTGTTGTCGGCCCCTACTGCACGCCGCAGGGCAATTATGGTCCAGGGGCCCGGCGGGGACCCCTGCAGGACGAAAGCGGCAAACCATGCCGACGCGTTATGCTTCGCGACGCGAGCAACGCGAGCACGTCGCGCCGCGGTTGGGCCTGGTGCCGAAGGTGTTGGTCGTGAGGCGGAAGTTGTCGTAGGTATTGGTCGTGAGGTGGAAGTTGTCGTGGGACTCGCGGAGCCACGCTCCTCCTGATCTTCCTCCTCCTCCTCCTCCTCCTCCTCCTCCTCCCTCCTCCTCCCTCCTCCTCCCTCCTCTCCTCCCTCCTCGTCCTTCCTCTCCTCTCCTCCTCCTCCCTCCTCCCTCCTCCACCTCCTCCTCCTCCTACTACTCCTATCCTCCTCCTCCTCCTCCTCCTCCTCCTCCTCCCGCCCGGTCCCCGAGGGCCGAGGGCAGGCCGAGGCCCGGCGGCGCGCGGCCCCCTCGCGCCGAGGAGCGCCAGGAGCTGCTGGGCCGGCTGTCGCGGCTGGAGGTCCAGGTCGGGAGGGCCCGGGAGGCGCGCGGCCCTGGGCGGGGGAGCGTGCGCGCGTGCGCGTGCGAGCGCGTGCCGCGTGTGCGCGCGTGCGCGTGCGAGCGCGTGCCCAGACATGCTCGCGTCGTGCTCGGGATGGCTTACACACAGACACAGGCACACACACATACACACACACTTACACACACTTGCACTCACTGACACACTCGCACGCACGCACGCACGCACGCACGCACACACGCACGCGTACACACATGCACACACACACACACCTACACTTACTTACTTACTTACTTACGTACTTGCTTGCTTACTTACGTACTTATTTACTTACACACACACACACTTATTTACACACATACACACGAGCACGCACGCACGCACGCACACACGCACGCACGAATGCACGCCCGCACGCCCGCACGCCCGCACGTACACACAAGCACGCACGCACGCACACACGCACACACGCACGCGCACACGCAAACACACACACACACACACACACACGCACACACACACACACGCACTCACACACACACACACCTACAAACTTACACACACACGTATTTACACACATACACACAAGCACGCACGCACGCACACACGCACACACGCACGCACGCACGAATGCACGCACGCACGCACGCAGGCATGCACGCACGCACGCACGCACGCACACATACACACACAAGCACGCACGCATGCACGCACACACGCACGCACGAATGCACGCACGCACACGCGCACGCACGCACGCACACGCACACACACACACACACACACACAAACAAACAAAACCACATAAAGCAGCGGAGGTTTTTTTGGCCGTCGCCTGCCTGCGAGGGCCTTCGCCATGCTTCGGGACCGTCAAAAAACGATGTTTGGTGAAACACTGCTGCTCTGCTGGGGAAAGGGACTTCCGGGGACCAAGGCGTTGCAATTTTTGGCGTCGCGGCCACGTGCGCGGCGGCGCGGAGTAGAGCAGGTCGAGCAAGCGCGCGCACCGGCCTGGCTCACGCAGCGGGGAGAAGCGGGATGGATCGACAGCGACGGGGACGGACGGGGAAAGCCGCGAGGGAGAGCGGAGAAATCAAAAGGACGAAGCAGCACGACAGTGCCACGCCGAAGCAGCAAGCGGGGCGCAGCACGGGGAGCGGCAGCGGACAGCGGCGGCGCCACCCACACTGCAGGGGGGGAGCGCACACGTGCGCGTGCGAGTGTGTCTGCCTCTGCGTGGTAAGGCGTCGGGCGCAGGAGGAGGAGGAGGAGGAGAAGGAGTAGGAGGAGTAGGAGGAGGAGGAGGAGGAGAAGAGGAGGGGAGGAGGAGGAGAGGGATGAGGAGGAGGAGCGGGAGGAGGAGGAGGAGAAGGTGGAGGAGGTGGAGGAGGAGGAGGTGGAGGTGGAGGTGGAGGTGGTGGAGGTGCCCCCCAGGGAGCCCTGGCTGACCTCAACGGGCTCCCCGAGTAGCCCGTGGCGGTCCCAACACCTTGACGCCGCCTCCGACGGAGCCCTCGGGACGCCCCGCGCCCCAGGGTTGGGCTGTTGAGACCGCCCCAGACTACCCAGGGGACCTGTTGAGGCCAGCGGGGGCTGCTTGGGGCGGCTGTCTGTGCGCCTCTGCGCGTGTCCACTGAGGTGAAGCTGATCCTACTGGCAGCGTCCCTGCTCGACCCTTCACCGCTGGCTGTGCCCTGAGATCTGGGCGTGGCAGCTTTCTCGCACTGGGCGCTTCCTTCCCCCAGGCCTAGGCCCCGGGATCCTTACAGGTCGATGCGGCTCGAGACATGCCCCAGACAGATTGGGTCTCCAGGGCTCCGGTCCTGATCGCTCGCGATGGTGTGCAATCTTTGTTCGCAGCGTCGGGTCTCAGGGGACGTATGGCTGCAGGCCGGTGGCGCGTCGAGGGAAGGAGAGAGTCTGCGTGCCAGTGCGCATGCGCATGTGGGGTTCCTGGCAGGGGCCCCGGGCCAGACGCCCGCCTCCGCCGGGGCGCCCAGCGCGCCGTCCTTGCCCCGTGCCTCGCGCAGGGGGGCATCGGCCCCCACTCGCCCACCTCCTCCTCCTCCTCCTCCTCCTCCTCCTCCTCCTCCTCCTCCTCCTCCTCCTCCTCCTCCTCCTCACTCGTCGCCGAGAGGCGCCCGAGAGCCCGCCCCGCCCAGGGACGGTCGGCCCGGCTGCGGGGGTCCGGTCGCCGCCCTGTCGGCGGTGGATCGCCGATGCTTCCAGCTCAACGTCGCCACTTGGCATCGCTCGGACGTGTGCATTTCTTCTTCGGCGAGGACCATCGAGGAGCACCCTCGGTAAGTTGGCGAAAAAGCCACGCACGAAACCGACATCAAACACAGGGAATGGAGGTCCGAGCGAGGGCCAGCCCACCCCCCATGAGCTGGTGCCCGCCCGACGTTGCCCCTCACTCGTTGCCCGTGCCTCCTCTCGTCTCTGCTTCCCGCGCCGCCTGCGGCGGTCGGGCTTCGGGCGGGCGCCGTGCGGTGCCCCGCCGTGCGGGCAGTGCGCACGCGCACCGCGCGCGCACCGTGCCTTGTGGAGCATCAGGCGCATGGCCTTGTCGTTGTGCAGCTGTGCGCGTCGGAGTCGGAGTGTGGCGCCAGGGCTCTCCAGCCGTCACGGCGCAGGAGCCGAGGGCGGTATCGGCAGAAGCTCCTGCCGCTCGTGATTGGACGAGGCGTGGAACCATGCAAGCTACAGAGCACGACGGGTTCGACTGCGCGGGCCTTTGCGAGTCCGCTTCGCGCGTGAGGCCGCGCAGAAGCTCCCTCGTCTTCCGTGGAGCGCGCCGTGCTGGCGGCCCGCGTAAGCCACCGCGTGAACCACGACGCAAGGTCGCTATGCCATCGCGCGTGAGGCCCGATTCGTTTCGTCTCTCATGTGTCGACGTGGACGGGCGCAGCGTGGATATCCGAGTTCAGGTCATGATAAGTCATGGTTGTGCTGCTCGTTGCCCTCAAAGATTGGCGGCCCACAGGCGCACGACATCAAGCTGAGTCTTGCGGAGGATCCCATGGCGTCTTGGTGCGTTGCTCCTCCGTACTGCATTGCGCGCTGCCCCATCCTGTCCTAATGACCGTCCCATGTACCAGCTGATGAAAGGCAGCGGTATCGCTTTCTGGAACAATGAACAGTGAGGAGTAGAAGGGGGAGGAGGGGGAGGAGGCGGAGGAAAAGGCGGAGGAGGAGGAGAAAAGAGACGAGGAGGGAGCAGGAGGAGGAGGAGGAGGAGGAGGAGTTGCTCGAGGGGCAAGACCATCCAAAGCATCAGCCTGACGTGCAGCGCCTGGTGCGGAAACAGCCCTCGGGGCGGATGGACTCAGGGGGGACGCATCGGCCCCCCGTCGCCCGTGTGCGTCGCCGACGGGGGCGCGATGGCCGACAGCCCAACCGTCCCAGGAACGTTCGGATTGGCTGCCGGGGGCCCATCGCCGATTTGATGTGCGATGCATACCCGTCGGTCGCTGAAAGTAGGTCTTTTGGGAAGCCCGGGTTCCAATCGACTTCAAGCGACCTCCTGCTTCAAGGATCGAGTGGCTTCACCTCTTCCGTCCTCTTTTTGGGGGCGGGCGGACACCCTACCTATGTTCAGCGCCTTCCCCGCTCTTCCGACCGATGGGTAGGAGGA